AATTTATAGCATTTCGCTATTATCAATTGTTTTCAAAAGCGTTGAAGAGGATTTTAGTACAATTAAACCTTCTGATCTTAAGAGTTCTAAAATATCATTACTACAACGCCTGTTAATCCTGTGTTTTTTAAATATAACAGCTAATTTTTCACAAGTGTTTTCAGTTTTTTTATTTTCAACATCCTTTGTTTCGTTTCTAAAACAACTTTCACTGGAATTATTGTCTTCAATATTAATATCAATATATTTTCCAGGAACTAAGTCACTATTTAATTTGTTTTGATTTAATTTCTTTTTTTTTAATATTTCGTAGTTTAATGATTTTGTTTCTTTATTCATTTTGATTTTTTTAATATTTATTTCACAAATGTTTATTTACTACACTTCTACAAATTATTGCGTCACTTCATTTATAAAACATAGCGTCATCTGAGGCAAAATTCAAATACGTTGCTATGAAACACTAAAAATGAGAGAGAAAGCGAAGAAAGAGTATTTATATTCATGTTTTGAGCAATTGTTTTGCAAATTTGCTTGAACATGCGGACGCGGTATCAAAGACCGTCTTGAAGACAATGTCTTCGAAGACCACTTTTTCTACTGGGATAATAGTTCAGCTCAGCTGCTGTCGTTATTTGACGGCACTGCGCTGCTTGCAGCAAGTACCAAGGTGGTGTGGCATAGACAACACTTGTCTTGAATTTCATTTTAATACCACTACATGTCTCAACCCTATTGTGTTGTTGTTGTTATTGTCAATGTTGTACTGCAGCAGCGACATTTGACCACAGCCGTACGTCTCTCCGTTGTCCGTTATCCATTGTCCTGCTGTTGACGTTTCATAATTTTGTTGTTTTGTTTTATGCTTCTTATGCACATACGAATTCATTATAACAATAACACATACGCATACACATACACATACAAGCGCACAAAAAGTGCATTTATGTAAAATTACTAGCTAACACATGCATATGCATATACTTAAACTTAAATATGCTCACATTTGCATGCAATGAGCAAAATTAATTATTATGCTTGAGAAGCCCACCTCTGCGCTATACACCTCTGCATATCTACAAGTTTGAAGTTACTGTGTCTTTGCTCCTTCGCTTGCCTGCTCGCTCCACAATTCTTTCGCTCATTCGTTCGGTCGTTCAGTTGTTCGGTCGTTAGTCTGTTTGTGTATTGTGGCTTGCGTTGCAAATTAAGCACTGCTGCCGACGCACTAACTAACTTTACTAACTCAATGCCATGCCTCAACGGCTTCCAAGGGGGTAAGAGGCTTAAGGGTTGGTTCAAACATTGCACTGAGCATAAGCAATGCTCTTAACAAAATTGTTTTCCTACTTATACTTGTATTATCCTTGCAATGTGTTGCATTCATTATGCATTAAAATCAACGCTGGCATGAGAAATGCCAGTCAAGTTAGTTGTTTAGCTTAATATTGTAAGGGGATTGGCGTTCAGTTCAGTTGTGTGATGGGTGGAGGTAAGTGAGGTAGGTGGGTGCTATATATGCTCTGCAAATCTAAGCATTATTATTACAATTGTTGTATTGTTGTGTTGTTGTTGTAGGTGTCAGCAGTGGTCAATTCGTAACTTCAAGTACAACATGCCTATTGCAGACAAAAACACTGTATTGCAAATTTTCCAGCATTCCCCCGCAGCACTCCTTACTGCAACAACAGAACTTATTCAATACTTGATTGCGTTGCAGTAACCAAATTACAACATTCTCTACTGCATTACAAAGTCATCTATAGCTGTTGTGGTTGTTGTAATTGGTGTTGTTGGAGTTGTTGTAGTTGTTGTAACTGTTTTTGGTTTAGTAAACTTTAAGAAGGTGCACTACTACGAACGTGTTGGTGTTTTTAATATATATGTGTGTGTGTGCGATACTTAGTATCTCCAAACGGTTTCAATGCATAAACAAAATGCCTACGATTCTCTAAAGGATTCCTCATGTTAATACTGGAATACAGGGTCATGAATATTGTTGCTGAATAAACAGTTATAGTTTGTTAAAAAATTTTTCAAATTATTTTCAAATAAAATTTGATTGAAAGTTTATTAACATTGATTGAAATCATTAGTGATATATCATCTGATATTTATTTTTAAATATTGTTATTTTTAATAGAGTACAAATAAAACTGGTTCTGTGTAAATCAAGACTTAACAGTTGATGATAAATTGACCTATCAATCTATTAAAATGGATAGTATTTTTTTAATATGAAGTTAGTTTTTTTAAAGTAAGTCAGTTGATCTCTATGATCAACTTTGACATTTAACACTTTCACATCTGCGGATGTTCTTATTTTCAAATAAAATATTTCGATTCAAAATTTTCTTAAAAAATAAATGAAATAAAAAAATAAGTAAATATATTTTGGTTCAATCAGAATTATAACAAATGATACAAATATTATTATTTATCTGTACATAAATTTTACTTGCCTTCTGAGTATCTGAATTACCCTTTTTATTTAACATTTATTTACATTACATATCTGTAAATGTATTTGTAATGAATTAAATTTACAAACATATGCACATACACATACAAACGAACCAACTTAAAAACAGCCGCAAGCTTCGGTTGACGATAATTTGTTGCTTATAAGAAACTTTAATTGGTCCTACAGTGGCGGACTTATTATTTACGATGGATATGTAAAATATAAATAAATATAATAAATTAAATTATTTTTATAAGAAAATTTTAAATTTAAAATAATTAAAAAATTATTAATTCAGTTTTAATATCACGAAAATTTGTAAGAAGTTAATTGAAATTTGGCGTAATCTTTTGTAAGTAACTTGCAAAAAAACAGGAACTCGCTTAAATTAGCAGCATTAAATAAAGATTGTTGTTTCATAAGTTAAAGTCAAAGTTAACCTATGTTGTCTTTACAATATACATAATTACAAAGGATGCTGTCTGACTATCAGCTAAATAATATGTTTTGCTGCTTTATATTTCTTTTTAATATTTTTTCATTTATTATTATTATTTGAATTTATCATAATCAGTCGACTGGTATTTTCGAGTTTTAAGATCAAGAAAATACATCCATTTTTCTTACTCGTATCCCCACTGGCTCTCACTGACTAGGTAGGTCCAATTTTATTAGTTCTCCTTTTTGCATTTTTATGACCAAACATTCATTTTGATTAGTAACTCTCAACCACAATTTATTTTATGTTGAAGTCCTCTCAATTACTTTTGTTGTTGTTTTTGGAATGGTTCCGGTTGAAGTGTTTATTATTGGAACTATTTTTGATGTTTAGGCTGTTCTTAAGGTATTGTGCTAGATATTTACCAATTTTATTGTTTTGTGTGTTTTATATTTCTATCTCAGTAAAATTGAAGATTTGCACTTTTTTTTGGTTGTATGTTTATTAAAGTCATATCCGACCTATTAAGGAGAGTTAAATCTGTTACTGTGTTTTTTGATATTGATATGTCCAATAAATTGTGTATTGGTTTGCATTAATATTCGTTCAAAGAAATAAAAAATTAAATCTTTTAGTTTTTGTTCTGATGACCCCACATGAAGATTAGAAGGTTCCATTTCTTTTATTTCAATATTATTAATAACAGTTATATGATTTCAAGGGATTGCTCTAAAATAAGCCATTAACTTAGGGCAGCTCTTGAATTCGATGGTACAGATGTATGATATAGAGAAAGCACGAGTGATACAATTCATATAGAGAAGACGCTTCTTCTGAATATCTGATTAAATTGGATCGATTTCTTTTATTACATTATTTTTAATTTAACTATTATTATTTTATATGATAGTGTTTTGAATTTCTGCCCAATATACGTCTGCTCTGAACCGCTCCTAATAAAAATCTACAAAAAGTGATAATTTCTCACTTAAGGTGGGTTAAGGAGATTTTCCATAAATTTGCCTCTTACATTTGCGTTTAATACATTAACACATACACATACACATACACAAAAGTACATATTGTGACTCAAACTACCATGTCTGCACATGGTCTTCGACTTGGTCTTGGTCAACTCCGTACGACCATTGGAGAAGTTCTTATGTTCATTACGTAAGTCTCAACAAAGCTTACTGTAAAATTTATAACAGAATTGAGGAGGTGTAAAATTTTGATTGCCACGTCTTCGGAAATTTGTGCAATGCAGCATTGGAATGTGTGTGTGTATCTGTGTATGTGTATGTGTGTCATTGCAGTTGTATATGTAAATTTGTGATGGGTGTGGGTGTCATTGGTTGTGGTTGTAGTTGTTGTTGTTGTTGCAGTCGACACAGCGGCAATACGTGTGCAATGTCCATTTCCACTTTTTGCTCGACTGCATTTTGCATACAAATTTAACTTTATATCCTTTAGCCATAATGAGCAGAAGTTTGAGTTATAATTTCGGTTTGTGTTCAGATGTAGCTCTGCATATGCTTACGTATTTACGTATTTAGAATAAATGAGTATACGAGTTTGTATATTGAAATTTATGTTCTTCATTGTTGTTGTGGGGTTGCTGAGCAGTTGGCATTGCCATTGCCAGGCGAAAGGATAATTAATGAAATTAATGCCGAGTGTGAGTTTAAGTGCACAAAATATTCGATAATGTTTGCATAAAATGCAAATTCTAAATTATGTAGAAGACGACTGGGAAGGAGCTGGAGACTGGTCTGCACTCTCAGAGCGAGATTGGGGTTGGCTGACTATCATATTTGTTGGTGGACATAACATGACTTAAGTGAAAGATGTTTGTAATGTAATTTTAACGCTTTTTGTGTTAAATTGAAAGTGGAAAATTGGATAGTTTCTATCTTATCCAATATACTTAATATGTAACAAAACTTTTTAATACAAGATATGTAAGTTTACACTTAAAACATGTTTTAATATGTACCTCTATTTATTTTCATATTATTCTCTACTATATTGTATATAATTCAACATTTAAAAGATATTTATTAAAAAGTTAGTATTGTTTCACATATCTTATTTAAGGCTTAACACAATGTCTCATTGATATGGCCGAAGGTTGCGAAGAAACGGAGAGTAGTAACGCAAATCGTAACGCCGATAACGCTCCGACTATGTTAGGTACTGTCTTGCCATGCGAAACAGCTATTACCGCCTCTTTGGGTGTCACAGGCGGTGTGATGAAACGTGAATTCGTTGATGCGAGCGTGCTTAGTGGCAGCCTAACGGCAGCAGCACACTTAACCGCTAGCGTTAGTTTGTCCAGCCCCATATCATCGATGCCATCACCAACTTGTCAACAACAACAGCAGCAACAACACGTACATTGCCGTACACCTACTCCAGCTAATTGTAATTCAACTGTCTCCTCGACAACGTTAATTGGTAATAAAATGTCTACAAATTTAGCTACACTCAATTGTTCCTCATCCTCTTCGTCGTCATCGTCGAATTCATCATCCTCGTCCTCTTCGTCATCGTCATCAACATCATCAACTGCTTCATCATCGACAACAGCTGCTATTGCTGCCAACTCAAATGCCAATAAATCGCCCTCCAGCATTGTTGGCTCACCATTTTCCACCGCGGCCACTTTATCAGTGCGTGGCACTTCACCGCCCTCAACACCAACATTGCCAGCGCCAGGTACACCCGGCGGCCATGCCAGTAATGCCAGCTGTACATCGGCAGTACAAACGGGCACAACGGTCCCGCCAACAGCACCGTCACCCGTGAACAGCATCTCGCTAAATATAAAAACCGAAGCGGTAAGTGCAGCCAATGATTTTACATTTAATTATTATAATTATTTAAAATTATTTATTTCAAACAATAAATTAAGACAAGATTTCACAAAGTCATAGATTGGCAGAAAATTAACTGCTCAGTTGTATGAAAAACGGAAAAAGAGCAAAAGAACACAAAGTTTACATATGCCTTACACTGATTTCACGCTCACGTTCACGTTCATGTGTTGTTGCTCTTCGCGGTCGCAGCAACTTTTTATCCTGCAGTCATCTTCATTGATGCTGCTGGCCGGCAACGGCAACACCGACATGGAAAACAAATGACTTTTGCCAAAATACGATTTTGTATCAACGAGCAAACGCTTTGACTGCAATCAACACAAGAGCCAATCGGATGACTATGACAGACAGACATGCAAACATGCAGACAAACAGACAGACAAGCAAACATACAAACGGACAGACGGACAGACAGACAATTTGGCTTAAAGTTGTCATTTTTATGCTGCTCTTTGGCTGCTGCCGCCGTTGTCGCTGTTGTCGCCGTTGCCGTTTTGCTTTTATTGCCGTGGAAGATTTGTGCCGTTTGATTAAATCTTTTTAGCACTTTTGTATGTCAACGGGAACATAAAGTTCAGACTTGCTTAGCATGAGATACCCTCGACCGCACTATTCCAAAGTGTTGCCAGTAAATTAAATTGAGTAGATAAGAAACGAAAATGGAATTAAGTTTACTGGAAGCTGTGGCAAGTAAGACCATTGGTGGTCTTGTAGAGTTAAGGACTGTAAAAATAATTTATTATCATTCGTTTTTTATTGGGAAATATAAGCTGATATAACACAACTTATTGATGACATAGGTTCTTCAATTTCGTTGTTCTTGGTTCTATGGATTCAATTGTTGTATAGGATTTACTATTAAGGGATACTACATTTTCAATATACAACGATAATTATTCAAAAGGTATTTTATTAGTAAATGTTTCGATTTTTATAGAATTATATAGTTGTGTCTATTGTTCTGATTGAGTCCTCTTTCTCCACTACATAATTGCCTTCTTCAGTCTCGCACATCAAGTGAATCAAGTGCTTCCTGAACTTGATCATTCCATCAGAGATTTTGTCCACCTCTACGTCCTCTTCCTCCAACCGGTTTTAATCACCTTTTTCGTCAGAGCAACGTCATCCTTTCTCATGATTCGTCCTCTTTCCCCACTACATAATTGCCTTCTTCAGTCTCGCACATCAAGTGAAGTAAGGGCTTCCTGAACTTGATCATTCCATCAGAGACTTGGTCTACGTCTCCGTCCTCTTCCTCCAACCGGTTTAAATCACCTTTTTCGTCAAAGCAACGTCATCCTTTCTCATGATTCGCTGAACTAGATCCATATTGTCGTGATTAAGCTCGTACAGCTCGTAACTTATAAAATCAAAGATCTCACAAAGAACTTTTCTTTTGTCATGCTTTAGTAAGTCAAAACATAAGTACTACAAGATATATCCGTTCTATAAAAGATAACTCAAAACTTTAATAAAGGTGTGTATAATATTTTTTATTGTTTGACGCAATTTTGATGTCAAGTAGCTTGAGACTGTACTTCCGAATTGGTATTTGTTTGGTGATAAAGATATATCTTTGATTTTATGCTAGAGTGTTCCACTGTCATGTTCATTGCATATCGTAAAGTTGAATCTCAAATTATTATGCTTAAAATTAAATAAAATTTATTTAACCATTAATTAAAATTTTGTTTTGAAAGCTCTACGGTTTCACTGCAAATTTATTCCATACTTTACCTTATTTATATATCCAATATAGACGTGAGTAATCTGTAGTAAAACAGGCTTAAAAGTAAATTGTACTCACATCCGTATAATTACCAGAGCTCCATATGAGAGATAATTTCAGATAATTATATGACTGTTAACGCGACACAAATAACACGTACTAATTAAAAGTTAAGTAAGCAAAAGCTGAGAGATAAAACCCATAAAATTCAATGAGCAACGCCACGGAAACGTTGCAAGCCGCACCAATCAAGGGCAGTGTTTATGCTGCGCCGCAGAACACATGTCGCGTAAGCGATAATAAAAGCGCAAGAAATAAAAATATATTAAATAATTAGCTATTGGCATTACAACAACACCTAAAGTATCTGTAGTATTCAGTTTGAAAACGTTCTAAGGCGGTGCAACAATAAACGGCGCGGCAGCACTCTGGATTCATATGCAATGCAGTGTTTGCAATATAAATTAACGAAATGTGCCACAAATGTTGCCAATACAATTATTGGCGTTGTAGTTGCTGATTGTATTATTGGTTGTAACGAGCAGAAAAAATATTTGCCCCAATTTCTGCAGTTGTTGGCTTTCAGATACAAAACAATAAGTTTTTTGGCTGATTCGATTTTTGCTGGTCTCCAATAACGGCCGCAACATAAAATAATGGCGTTCAAAACTGCTAAACTGTGAGCAAGCAGTGCGATTGTCCACAATAAACAACAGATATTTCTGAATATATCTTTGAGTAAATATATTTAGATACATACATCGCATTAGGTCCTTGTGTAAAAAGTGGCCAGTTCAGACACTTAACAAGCCTAAAATTATTTTTCAACAATTTCGGTTTAATTTATTGTTTGTTGCAGTTGTAAATTTATAATTGGTGTTAATAATATGCAAAAGAGATTTCCAATACCATTTTGAGATAGTAGATAATTGTGCGTCAATATGCCTAAAGGTCATACCATTCACTTCTGATACCAACAAAACATAGAATTACACACGCAATAATTAGACTGACGCACCTTTCAAAATTTGTAAGATTTTGAATGAGGCTCTGGAAGTAAGTAGTATTAAGTGCATTAAGCATTAATAGGATTATACTTAATCCTAATACGTTTCACAGGAATCAGAATCGACTCTGTAACAGTTCTATAGAATTTTTTTTTCGAATGGTGAGATTTTCTTTGATAGCGAGATCTATTATTATCACGAAGTCATTTTTACCTTTATACAGAGTAACAATATACGAAGCAATGCAAAAAACTGTCCGAGTTCCTGATATCCTCACTTATCTAACAATTTACCTGTATCTTCAGAATTTGAATTCGGCAGAATACGGCATCCTGTCTTTAATTTTCTACACTCTTAGTAGGTCCCAAAAATAGCTTTTTTACTAAAAAATAATGATGATATCTACAATATTGTATAATATAAAAAATTTTTCTTAATTTATGATGAAAAGTTTTTTTCTGCGGTCAGTGGAAAGTGTGAGATGTCACCCCATAAAATCACCTGAACCCACAAAATTAAGTTGAGAAGATCAAAGGAAGTGCGACGCCGTGTTCTTCCTATCCTAGTTCAATTGAGTTCAGAATATAGTTATGTGCTTAACAATTACTTGTCACGCATAAATATCTCAATTCCTAATGTGTGCCCTAACTGTAGTTTGCCCCCATGATACCGCTCATCTTCTTTCCTGCTCCAACGTATACAGAAACTAGTATACACAAGTGACTAGGTTTCTCCACCTTAAATTGATTAACTTCACTTTAAAAACTACCCGTCCGGCACTCCATTCTTAATCCTAAATAATCCCCATCTCTCTCACACTAACATCCTAACCCATGAAAAAGTCTTCGTAGTTTCTATCATATTATCTGCTTTATAGATCCTTGTGGGATACAACAACAACAATAACATGGATATATGCAAAAGTTTAAGAGCATACACTATATCTGTGGGTTGCTATATCCGCAATTGAATAACGGAATTGCTTGAAGGAGTGATTTATTTTGTTGAAATAAATAGCAGAGAATAGAAAAAGCCTAAGAAAACATGGATATATGCAAAAGTTTAAGAGCATCACTATGGAGTGAGTTGCTATATCCGCGATTGAATAACGGAATTGTTTGGGGGAATGACTCAGTTTGTTAGAATAGAGAGCAAACTCAGTGGGAAGTTTCTCTATGTGAAGAATACGAAAAGGGAAATTATGGTCACGAGTTATCGTGAACGCGTCACAGATATCGCATATCGAGTTTTTTTACATTAGCAGTGGACTAAAGAACTCGATTAAAGTTGTGGTGCCTATTTCGCTTGGTCTGTAGTTACCGCAGTTTGTTCTCTCAATAGCGTGAAAGCGGTCAAATTGAACCGAGCATATACCTGAAAAGATTGGAAATACGTACGTGAATAAAGGGCGAATAAACTGCTACACTCTGCTTGTTGGAGAGTAATATAATGCTACGCAGAGCGTTTTTGGATGTTGAATATACCGAAAAGTGTCATTTCTTGTAACTAGTTAAAAAAAAGAAAAATAGAAGAATTAAGCTTTGTGGTTCTGAAAAATTCATGTTTACTGTAGTTGTAAAAGTTATGAATATTGTATTAAGCTCTAAATAGATATTTACTTTGAAAAGATATTATAAGTTCATTCACCTGAATTAATTGCAAACATTTTATTTGACTGCCAATCACACTGGTAATTACTTTTGAACCGGCTTAAGTGGTAAATTCGTAAATCGTAATTTCTATTTATGGCCTGCACTTAAAAATGCATTTTCCTTAAATTTGCCTGCCGCCTAATAAGCATGCGCATTGGCTGAAAAGCATAGCCGGACAGCCATTTCGGTGTTAAAAATAATTAAACACACATTGAGTTTAAGAAAGAAAATATTAATTATAGTTGCCAACATTATGAATTTTATATCTCAGCAACAACAACAACAACAACAACAACAACAACAACAATAACAACAACAGCAACGGAAAATGAATAATGAATAATGAATTGACTAAATAAATACAAAATGCAAACGAAACGCATGATCACTTGCAAAATGCGACGCCACAACAAACTACGGCGATTGCAGCGACCGCAACGGCTTAAATGCAAACAAGAAAATCCAGCTGCAATAAAATAACAATTTAAAGTGCAACAAACCATTAAAAGCCAAATAAAATAAAAAACAAAAAAAAAATAAACAAGTCAGATACATAAACTAATTACAATGAAAAACTCAATACTGCGATAAATAAAATTTAAAGAACATAAAAGGCGAATAAAATGGTTAATGAAAACAACAACAAACACCAAATACTAAACACCAAATGAAAGAAATAAAAATGAAAACAAAATGAAAAC